CGTTATCAGCACGAAACCCTAACCACTAAATAAAAAGTTAGCCATTTAGTAAAACCCTAGCCGTCTTTGGTAAAAGAGATTTCTACCAAATAAAAACCTCTAACGTATGTCAACTCTATTCTCTGTCAATGGCTTTTGAGACGTCTCCGTTTCCCTACACTCCCTGTCTCCGAAAGTCACTATCAAAATAAGTACCTTGTGCCATAATTCAATGTCATGCTTTGTCAATTATATAACATATGCATTGCTTAGTATTACTTTACTATCGATTTTGTTTAGTAATTTAGTTGAGCATGACAAATATGATTTGGCTTCTTTGATCTGTTCATTCTTTTATTGTTAGTATGAATCGACAATTAAATTAATTGGAAACATACTTTATTGATTATTATTTTTAATTGATTGAGATGAACACAATGTTTGATAGGAAGATCTAACGTTTAATTGATTTACCAATTAACATCATGAATATATTATACAGTGCTTTATTGGCTCATGCTTTTCGAATTAGGCCGATTGCCTTGTCATACAGTAGAATATATTGGTTGACACATGCTTTATGATCGATCTAAACAGTTTAAGTTTTGCTTAATCTGATTTAAACTATGTTAGTATATGTGCGTTTGATAAATCGTTAGTTTGAGATGTTTTATTAATTCGATATCATATTTTAACTGTTTATAGTTCTGTCACATGATTTCTTTCTTGGTTTGAACTTCATTACTTCTGAATTAACAAAAGAATCATTGATTTAATATATGATTTTGGTTGTTTGGTTTTTTTTTTTTGATAGTTGAATCGGTTGTATGGATATCACTGATTTGGAGAGACTTCCGTCGATATCTCTAACGGACTTTTCCGATGTCGTTTCCAACTTTATTCGCAGAATTATCTCCAAAGTCATCTCAGCTCCATCGAAATAAATATAAATCAAATCTTTAGAATCATGCTTTATTGAATCAATGCGTATATACACGTATATATTGATCTGTGATCGATTTCAATGCTTTATTGATCCATGGTTCTTGTTTTATATCATAAAAGTATCGACACATGTTTTGTTGCTTTGTTATGATAGATCATGTATATAGTTATGGTCTGATCTCATACTAGTATATATATGCAACAACCGGATTTATGTAGTTAAATTTATACTCGAGAATTTTCAGTG